TCCTTAAAGCAACAAGTCGATTAAAATGAATGCAATGTGACTTATTTTTTATTGCGCCTGTATTTTTTATTAGTTTCTTCACATAAATGATATTATTTTTTGATAGAGGTCGATATATTTTCTTTAATGAAGTCCGGTATTTCGAGGTGACATAAATATTTATTTGCACTGAAATTGTTCAGTGCCGAGAGATCAAAGGAAACGGAAACGGGGTTAATGGAAGCAGAATTACAACAGTTGTATTCTGAAAAGACGCGACAAAAAGAACTGGCGCGGCGCGAAGACTACAGAGAGCTTAAATGACTTTAAATTTGAAAACAGATTTTTAACCCGTCTACCAAGTTTGTAAAATTATGCATATACACTTTCAGTAATTTTAATCCATCTATATTATATAAGATAAACGCTATCGATTTCGATTCAACGAATTTTTTTATAAGATTCAATAATTAATGCTTTGGATAAAAGATTTAGCAAAAGGATTAGCCTGCATTTCAGCTCGACAGGATGTACATACCCGTTGCGTAGTACATAGGAAAATACACGGTTACTTGTAGTACACGCGTGTAACGTGCCCTCGAATCAATACTTTCTCTGTTATAGGGGGCACATCTAACGTTTAATGCTCGTTTTTATTATCCTCTCCTTCCTGTCATTTATCCTTGCCAATCCATGAAGCACTCTTTCAACTGATACTTCGATACTTATAATTATACCATTTAATTAATTTCTACTACGTGCATAGATTTTTTATCGCATTATAACAATTACACTTTTTATTAAGAATCAAGAAAAATCTGTAATTTGTAATTGATTAAAAAACAAGTTTTATCGCGGGAGGGAATATTGAAACAGATAAGAAAAAGAGAGAGTTTCTGGCTAGAGTTTCTAGCACGATCGTCACGCATGAAATCATTTCGACTTAATTATTTGAGAATTAAAAGTTATATCGTTTTCGTCCTTGAATCCGATTTGTGCACACCTCCTGCTTCTTGACCAAGTCAACGGAAATGTTACACGTTATGGGCATTCGATGATAGCGGCAGCGCCCATCATTTAACTATGCAATTGCCATACAATCTTCTCCGGTCAGTTAAACTCGTTGACGACAGAACCGCGACATGCATCGCGTGAGAAACTTGCGTAGGGTGAATGCTTTCTCCTCCGGCTGAAAATTAAACACGATCCAAGTGATAGCGCGTTAATGTAACGCCTTTAGTCTGAGCATCCTCTTACAATTAACTCCTGGGAAAGTGAGGTGCGCGTACCAGTTTCAGTGAAAACGTTCTTTGTTAATAAAATCGCTCACAAGGCAATAATCGATAGAAGTAGAATAAAAAAAATTGAATAAAGGAATTTCTTCTTTTATAGATATTGCATTCTGATTGAAATATTTTGCCTGTGCAAAATGAAAGGGGAAGGGACGATTGGTACACGGGCTGGCGACTGCCAAATTGCACAGGCCATTGGATTATCGTCGTTACTTCGTTCACGGGATTTCGAAGCGGAGATTAGCTCGTATAACAGTTGATAGCGGCAATTAAAGTCCCCGAACGAGGACTTAATCCTCAGCCGGTTTCTCGGATCGGTAAATGCGACTTCTAATTACTCCGACTCCGGCTAACGGAAGTCGAGATCATCAAGGTGTACTCGTATGATCAAGATTTTGTGCTTTAATGCATAATAGATATCTCACTGCAGACAATTGATACTTGTTTGCATAATAAAAAGGAAGAGATACTGGTCGGAGGAAACAATTGGTAGTAATTGATATTGCGAGTATTAATACCGCGTATTGTTCTGTATGAACGAGGCTATTCATACGATGAGATGAATGCAAAAGTTAATTAGCAGGCGAGAATCTAGTACAACGTGTTCGTTCAAGACGGGCTCGTTTGCGTGACAAAAAATCTGTACTCATGTAATAAAATAAAATAATGTCTCAGAAATCCCTTAAAAGACCCAGTGAAGACGGCGACCGAAGATAAATGGAAACAGCTAAGCACGATAAAGAAATTCCCGAACCTCTTTCCAAGACAATTCTGGCCCATTGGGAATAACCCTAGGGGGAAGGAGTCAGGGAAACCCTCGGTCACGTAACTTTCGTTCGATCGAGAGCCTAAAGGAAACGGAGGTTTTTACGGCGTTGCGTCCATGGCGATAACTGCAGCGTGGCTGGTGCAGCGGCAGTCGCGGTAATTTCGACAGGGAAGAATGCCAAAAGCCTGTCGGACGTAATATTTCGTCGGTGCCCAGGCAACCGTGAAGACGGTCCTTTAACCCCTCCGCGATTTGTTATGTGCGAGGCTTCGAGTTCACAGGCACAGTACTTACATATTATGCTGTGGAATTTCGATTACTGTTTGCTTACACATTTTTCATTACATAGAGAAAATTGAAGAAGGATGGAAATAATTTATAGTATCTCGATAACATTTATAATCGAGTTACTGCAATTTCATTAAAATATCCTTAAGACGATATTCGATACGCCTCTGCGAGTCGGGGGTATTACGGGGGAACTGAAGGAAATTCGGTAAAGGAAGCAGGCGACGACTACTCAATTATGATCGTGTAATCAAATTGCTGATCGTGTACACACGCGTTTTATCCGGCTCCTTGGGTGGCTGCTCGATCATGAACGATTAACCCCGCACAAGGCTTACGTTGTGCTCGCTCGCTGGTTGCACGTGGCAACTGGAACATCGCCAAGACTTCAACGGTCTCATTCGGGTCGAGCCGCCGCGTCTCTGGGATATGTACCATGTTCAATAACAAGTTGCCGACGTAGCCGTCGAGAGATTCTAATTTTTCCCAGAAAGAGAGACAGAGCATCTTTTTTCTCTCGCTGTTAGAAGTTCCCAGTAGCAAGATGCACTTAGGCTGCGCTCGACCAAGAACAATGCGCAAACCGGAGTGAATACACCCGGCTTCCCGTTCCCTTTCAGATTCTCTTTTAAACGCGGATTATTTTTTTACCCTTTCTTCCTTCTAAGTAGGTGCGCGCTGTATCACCTGTTCCCGTGAAACGTTTGACCAAGTTTGAGCTCTCATGCCTTATTTGGACTAATTACTCCGTTGCGACGGCACTTGTGAAGCGAAGAGCAGATCTTCTTCAGGTCGGAAGTGTTAAAAAATGTGTTTCATTAGTTAGAAAAAGAAATTCGTAGAAAATATGAATTTTGTACAGTAGTTTAGCTTTAAGAGAAGGTTGATTAAAAAAAGTAGCCTGTTGTATCGCGCGAGAAGCGTGTCCAAGTATTTGGCCGAAAGGTCACGGTCTCACTTATCCTTAACAAGAATTACGGCTTATTATTTGTGTAGCGTGTCGCTACTGATTACACAGAATGTCATGATTTCAGCTTCCCTTGAGATAATGCACGTTTCGTTTCTCAACTCGTAATAAATTCGTTATTTTTCTTTTGTTTCAGGCGACTCTTTACAATGTACACCTCTAGATCGAGCATACAAAAGCAAAGTGCTGGGTCACTATCCAGACTCCGTGCCGTGGAACCCTTTCGACGAACACGCTGTATGCATGGTAAGAGATTCTTTTTTTAGCCACTTTTATAAGAAACTTATTGAATCTTTTGTACGGAATAATATTCATATTTAGAAAGGGAACATACTTGGAATTTATGTACTTTGAATTGTTAACTAATATAGTAAGAATTAAGAATGTAATTATGTTGAGTGTAAAGAAAAGAAAGTATAACATTGTGAAGATGCTGAAAAACTAAGATACAAAACTGGTACATATCGCCCACTTGTTAGCCCAACTATGTGTTGCTCGGCTTGGAGTATCGCTCCGGTTGAACTCGTAATAAGAGAACGAAACGGTAAACTCTTCGGCGAGCGCTAACAGAATCAGCGTAACGTGAAATTAGGAGTGGAAGATACTTGACATACAGTGAATTAAGTGCACGCTGTTCGCGATCAACGACGCTTATAGATATAGGTTGCGCCTCGGCGTGTCCCAGTTGATGAAAAGAGGAAAAGAGCGAAGAGGGACAAAGAGAGAAGCGTGGCAGGCGAAATGAGGAGGCGTCGTGTGCAACGTCCGTTCATTAGATATTCAATCTTGCAGCTCTGCCTGCCGAGCGGCCTGAGATTCCGAACTCAGAAACACTCCGTGGAGCCGACGTTCCACTCTTTCGTTCTCACCAAAGAGGACGGCCACAGAACTTACGGCTTCAGCTTGGTCTTCTACGAGGAGTGCCGGAATCGCAAGATATGCGCGGCTATGCAAACCCTGCAGGCGATGCATATCACGGAACTGAGCAGCGGCCAGAACGGTACACCGCCAACGTGAGTCTCCCCTTGCATTGTTTACTTGTACTACTCGCGAGTCCTCCGAGTAGAACTCCTCGCGACTGATCCGACGGACTTAATTAGAATACGCGGATACTCTATGAATCGCATACAACGTGATATGTCATAGTATGAATGAACAAATTAAAACTTACGATATTTTAATAAATATTTATCAGACGCTTTTAATGAACGAGCACTTGAAACTGTGTTATGTGTTACGAACGGACGCGTACGTAAGTATGAATATTTCGTATGTATTCGAACCCTATAAATATGAAACGTATTTGAAAACGTGTACCAGAAGATATTGGAATAGTTCTACCGGAACACTCGAATGTACGTATATATTTTACTATCGATTTATAGGACTATTACTCTCCCGCTTGCAGATAATCGACGTTCTATTTCTGCTTCGTTTCATTGCGCGAGTACGTAAAATTATGCAAACGATTGTTCGTATCCTGACATAAAAATCCAGCAATTAAATACGAGCGTTTATGTAAAAGCAATTTCACAATAAGTTTTAACGATCTCGCATTATTATCGTGCAATGCATTTAAGAATAAGTTGCGCAAGATTTGCTTCAATCTTTGTTTCGAAATTTTGTAAATATTTTATTTAAAGAAAAGTTAAAATCAGTAAACTGGATTGGGTGAAGGATTAATATAAACGCGTTTCCAGGGTAAGAAAAGGCCAGGATGGACATAACACGCGATCGTTGCCACGACATTTCAAGCTATCAGCACATTCACCAGGTGCTGCGTTAGGCTACTACGACTCTACCAAAGACAAGTTGCTAGTGACTAAATCGATATCCTTGCTATGCCAGCAGCCTTACCTTCATGCCGCGAGAACGTTCCTCACTAATCTCTACAAGTAAGCAACCGTCTAGACTGTAGATTATCATCTTAATATCCCCGTCGTCTCTATATGTTTTCATAGCGTGCTAAATAAGCGGTTTCGCTCTTTGAAAGAGCTTCGATCAATTTTCTGCACGAATGTCCGTCTCTTGATTCCAATCAGATAAATCATGTCTTCAAGTGCGCGACCAAATGAATGTGATTAAAAAGCGTAGAAGAAAAATCATTTCCAAGTTTCCAGCAATTCTTTTATTAATGTCCACATTTTTAGATGTGTTCCTAGACACCCGGGCCCTGGTCTCAGCCTTGAATCTTACGTGTACAATCTCCTGTACAATGTGCCGGTACCACTGCCCGGCAAATCGTTGAAGTTCTTCGTTCCGAACGACGAGCCGGCCAAGCCACCCTTGGAGCTGGTCATCCATCAGCCGTCGCCGTCGCAGGAGTTACCGATGCTGGATTACCCGTTGAAAGACATGTTTACGTGGCTCGGTGCGGATTGCGTGATACAATTGTTCACATGCGTGCTGCTGGAGAACCAAGTGTTGCTCAGGAGCTCGGACTTTCACAAGCTGATGGTTGTCTCCGAGTGCATAACGGCGCTCCTGTTTCCGTTCTCCTGGCAGCATGTCTACGTGCCGATATTGCCCGCCAGTCTACACCACTTCTTAGACGCACCTGTACCGTTCATAATGGGTCTTCATGCGCAGAGCGAGAGCGGTATACTCAAGATCGCAAGTGAAGTTAGTATTCAGAACAGCTGGGTTCAATCTTGAGATCGGGATAACATTCTGTTTGTTTATTACAGGCGAATCTTTGTTATGTAGATATAGATAAGCAAAGTAGCCAATTTCCAGAAGAGTTGCCCGTGTTTCCTCACAAAATGCAATTTATTGCCGAGATCAGAGCTCTTCTAAACAAGTACAAAGTACCACTTACGGGAAAGTAAGTTGAACAGCATTCGACTCGGCATTATTTCCCATGTACGTAATTACGAAACTGAGGATCGGTTTTCAGGACTGATAGCATGGTCATAAATCATTACAACGGTGACATCATGACCAGCAGTTTGACGCTTCCTGGTTCTGGATTCCATCTTCCCCGGAGAAAACATTCGTTGCACGATGTTTTAGACTGGGACCGACCTGAACCACCGGCACAACCGGACACTTTGCAGAGAATCATAGACATTGCCAAAAAGACGGGTAAGAATTATTTATTGAACGCCAATTCAGTTTATAGAATATTATAAAAACTTCTGACCCGATTGTGGAATAAATATATTTAGTTTTGCAAGTGGACTAATTGTCTCGATTATTTTTGTTCACTATTATTAATTACTATCGCAGGTGTAAATGTGGAAGACATCGATTCGGTGGAGGACAACCTGAACGAACGTGAACTTTCGCCTCAGGAGGATTACCAGGAGACGCTTACATTTAATAATGCCATTCGGGAGATTTTTTTGAACCGTTTTGTACAGATATTTTCTAGCTACGAGCACTTTGTTATTCAACCATCAGTCTGTCAGGTATGACAAAGTGTCTATTATGATATCCATTTTCTTAAAATAAAGACTGTATGTCGGAGAGAAGAAAATATCAAATTTATGTTACAGGAAAAAGATGAATGGCTGAACAACAGAGACAGCATGCACGTTTTCGACAAGGCTACTTTCTTATCCGATCAACCTACGCAACATTTGCCGTTTTTATCGAGATTCCTGGAGACACAAATGTTTGCCTCTCTCGTCGACAGCAAAGTAATGTCTACGTGGAACGAGTTAGATTTTAACATACGCGTTTTTGACCAAAGAATTTCCCACTTGAGGTAAAGTCGGAAACAATAAATGGTTTTTACATTAAGAAGAAAATTCCTTGACGTTTAAATATAAATTGTTACAGAAAAAAGATCGGAGAAGGTATCGTGCGATCGACTCGATACGAGTCTTGTACGAATATAGAAGAGTCGCAGAAAATATTGGTGCATAGATTGACGAACGTCGATTTCGAGACGAATCCGCCTAACGAGATTCTTCCACACAGGGCAGCGTATTTTCGAAGCTTCCCTTTATTGGACAGCGTTCCATTAAATAAGGAGCCGACCCAAAGGTAAGTACCGCTAAGATACATATACACATCTTTCATACAATAAAACAAAATCGAGAGTTATTAAAATCTTTTATCTTATTCCCTGCGTCACGTGTAGCATTCTTCGGTAAGAGTTTATACTTTACAAATAACGTAGTCGTCATGCATGTATGTTATTTGGTATATGTTATATAAAATTCATTATATACAAGATTTTACGACGACAATTATAAGAGTACATGTGTGTATTTAGAAATGTCCGGTTACAGTAGTTTTAAATCTTGTTATTACAATGTTTTTAAGTAGAAAAGTGTTTCATATTACGTATTCGTTTGTGACACATGATTGTGATTCATATTGTATCTATAACAGTAGTCGAAGGGGTCAAACTCAGTGGAAGTACAAAATGAAGTCCATGGAGGCGAACGGAAAACCTCCGACGCCTCAAGAAACACAATCGCCTCGACCTCAAACCAAGCTCTCCGCGGACATGAGTCCGGCGTTGATAGCGCAAGCAAACTGGACGTTCGTCGAAAAATTGCTCAAGGTACAAGAGGGTTTAAACAAGATTGATGTATCCAAGGAGAGCGCGTTAACTAATTTATTGTTCCACCAAGGATTGTAAATCGAAAACGAAGAGGATGCTCGTTTCGAAAATGGGTTCCGAAGCGGTCGCGTTAGGCCACGGTGGTGAATCTTTATCAGACGTCGAGGAGAACACGCTAGTCGCCAGTCTATGTGATCTGTTAGAACGAGTTTGGAGTCACGGATTGCAAAATAAACAAGGGAAAAGTGCTCTGTGGTCGCACCTTACCATGTATCAGGAGGAGGAATGTAGCGACCGAAATAAACCTAATTTTCTTTCTCCTGGTAAGTCGAAGCGCGCCTTTCACTATTCTCACACGAACGTATTTTCATCATCGATTGCATAATACTTATTGTTCACTAAATTTGGAAATGCAGCGTTACCGTGGTGCGTGCTGCAGAAACGACTCGATTGTACGTGTGTTATTTTATTTCTGATGTTAAACTATTAAGAGTAGAGATTAGAAATTTCTCGTGCGTAGATACTCTGCACTGCATTAGTTGTAAGTGATACACTATTCATAAATATTTATTTACTTTTTATCTTTACATGTTTTTCGCTATGTGCTCAATGTGTATCTGCGAATACGTGTTTGATTAGTATTCTTTTAAATATATTTTGCTATTAAAAATATTTATTCACTTCATTTATATAATTTCTCAATTTTTAATTTTTCTATTGATTTTTATTTGTGTTTCATTTTCTTGTGTTATAAATAGCCGTGAAATCACCGAGTAAGTTATTTGGATTACGGGACCGTTTAATTTCATCCATAAAGAACAGACATATTTTCGAAATCGCTTCTTATATCAAGGAGAATATTTATGGTAAGCCCTGATGTTGGCTTGCCACGGGAATTATTATGTTAACATTAGTTTTATGTAAATAATTATTATCGTAAAAGTCTTTAAGTAGCATGATTGAACGTTTTTGCAGTATTCTTTAATACCTGTTTGATCCATTAGTATCGTATAGTATCAGAAGCTTTTTATCTTATGTTTTTTTGTAGAGAAACATGTGATATGAGTAAAAAAGTATTAAGCATGTAAAATGTGTATGTTTCATTTAAAAAAGACATATGTATTACGTTTCATGTGATTGTCCACTTCAAATTTTTTTTGTTTTCGTTCGAAGCATGATTTCATTTGCATGCATTGCTAGAATTTGCATAGCAGTGTGAAGAAACGAGCATAGATCAGTTTATTCGTCACTGATGTTTCTCTAATTCATTACTGGACTTAAACAATAGATCTACCAAACCTGGCATTGGACATTGATTCACCAACACGAGGCACGGAGAGGCACAAGTCTCCTGGGGACAGGAAAATGGGTTCTGAACACTTGAGACCATTGCCCGACTCCTTACTCTTCGACATTCGAAATATCCAGGCGATGACTGACATCAAAACGCACATTGGATACGCCAGAGCTTGGGTACGACTAGCACTCGAGAAGAAATTGCTTTCCCGACATTTAAAGATCCTTCTGTCGGATACGAGACTGTTAAAGTTAGTTGCAAGCTTCGAATTTTTAATCGGGAATCACGAAACTGGACGATATGTTACACTGTTTCGTTTTTAGAAGCCAATATAAGAGATTCGCGTTTTTACGCTGCGAGGAAGAGAAGGAACAGTTCCTGTACTATCTCTTAACGTTGAACGCCGTCGATTACTTCTGTTTCACCAACAATTACCCAACCACGAAATTGCCATATAGAGTCGTTATATTTCCTAGTCGAAAGGCCAGCGCGGCTACCACTTCGGCAAACAGTTGGATCGCTATTTCTGGCACGCTGTGCGAAACGAATCCTGTGCCGATTCCCAAAGGAGCATTGGAATTTGTATTTCATGTATGTACATTTTTAATCTCTAATAACTTCTTCGTGACTCCTCGACTATCTTTCATCATTTTGCTTCTAGCATAAAAATTTGGGTGTGCTCTCCACGTTGCGCATAGGTCACGATAATACTGGTCTCTCGCCCAAGTGGATGGTGGAACACGTGGTAGTGAGGAACGAAGTCACGGGCCACACGTTCAAGTTTCCCTGTGGTAGGTGGCTCGGTAGAGGTATCGACGACGGTTCAACTGAAAGATTGTTGGTAGGGGCGTTGGTCCCTCCTACCATCGACAACGAAGAGTTGGTCGAGACGTGCTCGACACCACCGAGATGCAGATCTCCTAGTATACCCAGGCGCCCAATATTGTCTCAAGTCGAGTTACAACATATGCTAGGTAAATGTGGAAAATCTTTTGTTCACGGTCTTGTTTATATCTAAACAATATGTTCTTTGTAGGGGAATCCGTAAACGCGATTGTTAAGTTTCACTACAGAAGAGAATGTCAAGACGGATCTTTGACAGCTTTACTTTGTGGAGAGGGTGGTCTCGTGCCATCGTTAGAGCAAATATTTTTATTCGGTTTCAAAAACCAAAGGATATTCGGAAGAAATTTTTATGTATGGGATTACCTCTGTAAGTTTCTATCATAATAAAACTTGGATTAAATTCCGGCCTTGGTAACGACTAATCTTTGTTGCAGTACGCGTGAAGGAAAATTTCGAGATTTCCTTATTAGAGGAAATGGACGAGTATTCACAGAGATTGAATAGGGACAGACGAGTTCGTGCGAACAATCAAAGATTCGCGATTTTGAGATGCTACTGTCATCTCATCGATCAAATTAACATGTTCAGTCAGACTCTTGGCAAAGATGGGAAGTTCCAGTTGTTCATTTGCCTGGCAGCAAGGTAAATTATTTTCTAATAACTGGACTAACAATAATTTACAGCAATTCTTTCACTCTGAACATTTTTGTTTCAGAGAGCAACTTCTTCATGCCATGCTTCGGCCAATGAGTGAAGCGCGATCCACTGCGGACATGTACGAAGAGAATTCCTTCTTGAGGAATACCACATTATTAAATTTCGTAATTCACATTCTCGAGCCACTGAACGAGTTTCACATTGTTCTCGAAAAGAGTTTGACCCACGGAATTTCCAGTATATGTTAATTCATCGTGAACATTCCACGTATTCCACAATAAGGTACGTGTATTTAATATCACGCATTAACGTATGATATATCGCGTAATATCATATGTACATATTTTGTTTTTTAGAATACGTTTACTTGAAGCAGCACAATTTACCAAATTCTAAATAATAAAATATGAAGAGACACGTTACAATATAAAAAACAAAAAAGAGGGACTTTGTAAAGAATCATATTATTAAGAATCTATAAGAGGAATTTAATATATAATATAAACAAAGACTGTTACACAGATGTAAAATAGTCAGTTTTAGATGACAAATTATTCGACAGAAAGTGATAAATGAAAGCATAGATCTGGTTCTGTTCAAAAATTTTAAGGAGATTATTAACGATGACAAGAAGAGTTCCGTGCAAGGACAAATGACACTGATCTTGCCCATCTTGCCGTAGGTGATATTGCTACGTGAGTAAAACTGACGTATCGTGTACCAAAGATGTGATCCTATTAGTTATTACTAATTAGTATTATTAATATTGTCATTATAAATTAAGGATTTAGTTTTTTTACGGTCTTTATCATAAGCAGGAGAACAATTAAACGTGCAAGCGACGTATAAATATGTGTTGATAAGTTAGGCGAAATAAATGTTTCATTATTTATTATTTAGAAATAATTAATAGACTTCGTCGATGAAAGATCAGGATAGCAAACAATTTACGTTCTGCTAAATTTTGGCAATTGTCACGGATTATATTTTTTTTACTTATTCGTTTATACACATTTTTAACAAACGCTTGCACTCATTTTTAACTCACTTTCTTTTTATTTCAATAGATATGCTATACCAATTAGTTCTTAATAATTAATTTGTCAGTTTTGTATGCTACAAGTGACCGAAGTTTCGATGGTTTTCTCTCTATATAATTTTTAGCATTAACAATTTACATGTTATTAATTTCTTATGAAACCTTAATCGAAATTGGAAGGACGTAACGTATCGTGAAACACAGTTATATTCGAGGATAAAATGGACCAAAAATTGTTTACCGCAGGTATGGCAATGGATTTTTAGTGTTCGAATTAAAGTTAATCCTGTTTTTGAAGTTTTGATGTATTTGATAAATCGGAATAGATCGATAGCCCCGATGTTTCGAAGAAATAGTTTTCAAAGTACAATTTTTAGCGTTACGATCGTTCAATAATATATCTGATAGATAAGAATCGTTTTATTAATAATCAGCATGCGATTGTGCTCATACTATGTAAAGTACGTGTGAATAATATTGAACTGGAGTATGATTTTTATTTTTAACATACGTATATGTAATCGATGATAATTGACTTTTCTACACTTTAGAAAGATATATAAACGGTATGACGTTAAGTATAAATTATTTTTTTATTCTGTACAGTTTGATTTTAATCATGCACTTTTAAGAAGGCGAACAATTTTTTAGTTAAGAATTATGAAAAACGCAAATTATTCACACGTGCTTATTTTTTGCGTTCATGACATTACGTCTTATCGCGAGTATCTCGCACCTGTGGCCAAAGTAAAATGTTTAGGATATCGTCTTTCAATATTGATCCACGGATATAAAATTTGTGAACAATTTTTATTAACACAACGCTTCTCAAAGCACTTCTTAATTTATTCAATGTACTTACATAATTACGTTTCAGTCTCTTTAACGTGATTGCTCGTGCGTGATTACAATTCTGCCAAATACATATTTACATTTACCATTTAAAAATTCGATAGACGTAGATATTTCACCACTCTATCACCACATGTTTTTACCCGACTACTTTAAAATGGAACGCAATGTGTTAATACGAAAAAAGGAGGAGAATATAATTTGTTGATTACGCTTCATTAAATAATTGTTCTGCGAACGAGCTAGCATTCATTTGTTAATTAATTATGTTGCTGTATTGTTGTTAAATAACATAATAATGGTAATACTCGAATAATGATCTGATCCAGAACAAACGAGGATGAAGTTCTTTTACTTCATGTAAATTTTAAATGAATTATACTAAGTCTGTACGATTCCGTTATCTGTCGAATCAGTTTCAATGTGAAACGAGATGACAGTGAGGGAATCTTCCAGGACGAAACTCGGATTTCTTTATTTCAGATTTTCTATAGTTGCGAATAGTGTATTTGTGATTGTTTTATTGTTAGACTGAAGAATAATGCGTTGCATTTTATTTATTGCAAATTATTTTGTATGCTTTAAAGTGTCTCTTTTCTCATATTGAAATCACGTGTAATGTTTTAATCTTCCTCAGACAGAACAGAAGATCAATAAAACTTGATTCATTAACTTCAATTTAATTCTGAAATTGACAATTTTACTTTTTATAGAATACTGACATTAAATAAGGATAGTAGTCAAAGGCATTCAATGTGGCATCAAATTATTCACTAACTTGTACTTCTATACTGCTTTGCCTGAGGAAGATTGAAAAGAATATTCAAAGATTTCACCAAAGGTTCAAGTACGCGTTACTTACGACTAGTACAAACTTGTAGGCAGTGAATATAAGTTTTGTAATAAATCATATGGCAAACGTTTTAACGTGACGCCGACGCGTGCACCTGGTCACAATACTCAACATTCGTGTTATATCGAATTCACATGCGTGTCCACCTTATCACGATCCATGACTCGATCGTTCCTCATTGCGAAAAGAAAAAAGATTAAGCAGGTTCTTTACCAAGTTTGTACATAAACGAGAAACTCCATAGCTTGGTGTAACGTATAGGATCTTTTACAAGACGATCGTCGTATAATTGTATATATACGAACTGTAAAACAGAATATTATAATATTGTACAGTAGAATAAAGAGTTATCAAAATTAAGGCAAGTTTGAGCCCCGTTTTAGCCTGTTTCGGCCCGTTTGGTCCTATTTATACAGGAACGACGGGCCAACTCCGAATTGATCTTTGAGGCCTCGTATGTACAGAGGAACTGAGAAACTTCGAGTCAAGAGGCTTTGCGTCACCCTTGTCTCTCCTGCATTGCTCTGTCCGAAACCGAACTAAAAATCCTTTTCAGCCGTCTCGTCATGGAGTCGTTGCATTTGCTATCCCTGTCTATCCGATATTTCCAGTCCCTGTCTTGTACAAGAAACAGGAATTTAAGCAGATGCTCAAAGCGATCTTAAATACAAACACCGACTCTGAATTAAATACCGGCGAATGTTATGGCTAAAAATCTATTTATTCTCATATTTTTCGAAATATTTAAACGAATTTAATAATATAAACGAGGCACATGTAAATATATATACGTACATATTATTACAGATATAACACAAATACGTACATATCATTACACAGGTTGTTATTCTCAAAACACTATTTATATTATAAAAACTTTATTACACAATAGGAAAAGCACGTGATGATGATAGACTGATGTTTATAAATATACAAATGCTATTAACAAGTAAACGAATTCATTAATGGACTGCAGATAGGTAGATAACTATTTCATTGTCATACTCTTACTCTGCTATCATAAGGCTCTGGAATATGTCTAACGATGTACGATCGGATTTCAGGTGGTTCTGCTTTCGCATTAACTTTAAAATACATTTTCCGTGATTTCGCGTTGGATAATAACGAACTCCACATGTCATCTCTCTGGAATCAATAGGAATAGTGTATATAACTAAAGGTTTATAATTTCTGGCAAAGTTCTAATCTTACCTTGAAGACATTGAAGTTGCCACATATTATTAAACAGTGTTTCGCTCTAGTAAGGGCGACGCAAAGCCTCTGCTTGTCTGATAAGAAGCCGATCTTCTGACTTCGTACACATGACATGAGTATTATATCTCGTTCTTGGCCTTGAAAACCATCCACAGTGTTTATTTCAATTTTTATTTTCTTCTTAATGACTTCTGACAACGAAGATATTCTACGATAATCAAAACCAATGTAAAATCATACACTTGAACAATATAATTTGTATCGTATCCTATGCAACTTACTTCTGCTTAATTTTTGTCTGTATAACAACTTTTTGATTATTGTATGGCGTTAATATACCACAGGATATGCACGAATTCCATTTCTCTAAATTCGTTGACGTTAGCATGCTATAAATAACGTTAGCTATAAAGTCTGCTTCATTATCGTTGGAGAAATTGTCATTGTTTTGATTCGTTTTCAAATCCAATATGCGATACGAATAAAACGGAAACTTGTCATCGCATTCCACTCCGTTCACCAGTTTGCCGCCGTAAAAGAATTTGTTTGGCCAACAACAAATGTCAGGCTGCATACGATACTGAGTGTTCAACATGATTACCGGATTGTCCGGATACACGTCGAAGGCACTTTGTACGCGAGAGAAAAGGGACCGACCCAATCCGAATTTTTTCGCTTCCGGACTTATTATGGTAGCGGGTAATTGGTCAGGATCGCCGACTAGAATCATTGTGTTAACACCCAGCATTAACGGAATCAGAGTTTCGGGCTCAGAACTCTGAGTCGCCTCATCCACGATGCACACAGATATCTTATTCTTATTAGTACCGAAGATCGTTTCCATTTGATTAGTACAGCAGGACGTGAGCGTGCACGTTATTATATTCGCGTATTCAAGAAGCCTGTTTTCCGCGCTTCGGTGCAATCTCCTGTGTTCTTCTGCGGACATATGCAATCTAGGCTTTACCAGTGAATCATATCTCGCAACTATGTCCTCTAATTTCATGTTGAGATTCCGTTTATAAGTTTCGTCTATGCTAATGGAGGTCAGCTGGCATTTAATAGTATTTATTTTCAACTCTAAAAGTGCTTTCTCGTCCTGCACGCTTTGCGGCGAAACATTGTTCGAAGTAGTCGCTGTTTTTCTTAAATCTCGGTCTGCCAACGTGCTAACCGAAATATCTTTTACTAAAGGATGCATCGTTTCCGCACGACCGATGCGAACCATTCTGAATGGTTTCATCTTTCCCTTCTGCTTTATGTTAGATCTAATATCTAATAATCTTAAAACGATCTCATCAATTGCGGCATTCGTTGGAGCGCAAACTAGTATTTTAAAAGGGTTTCCGACGCTCGTTGTATATCTATTGCTTCCATATAATATTTGCATAATTATATTTACAATTACCCTGGATTTTCCTGTACCCGGTGGACCATGAATAAGACATAATTTGCTTTCCTTCTGAACTACAGCTTGAGTTATCTTGACAACGGCTTCCATCTGCTTTTGATTCAATTTATCTTCGGTGACCAATGGCTCTGCGCTAATAACGTCTGGTAATTTGTACATATCTAGTTTCGGACTTAGGATCTGGTTCATTAACGGCGAATTGGGAAGATATTGTAAAGCTTTGACCATTCGTAAAGTAGAACGCAAGTAACTCACGGTTCTCAATCGTATAAATCGATTAACGAGAATATTATTCGTGAGTGGTCTCGTCAGTACTGTGTACGTGTTCAGCGCATGAGCATTTTTCTCGTGTTGTAACAAAGCTTTGTTGAACCGCGTCTGACTTGTTAATGGCCTCGAATCAACTTGGGTGACGAACCCGAACACTCTGTGAAACGATTGTCCTTTTTTCTCGTGATTGTAAGCATATTCGATCATAACGAGATCTCCATAAACAGGATGAGTCGTCAAGCGCATATCTTCTTTCGAAACCAGCAACGCGATCATCAACGATGTAAAGCATATATTGTGCGAGAGCGTAACCCTGGATACAGAGTTCTCGACTATGGAGCATACGAATGTGCGCCTGCAAATTTGCTCGCTTTGATACTCTTTCGTGATACCACACCAAATTTCTATCAACAGAAGCGGAGTTATGGTCCGATAATATTCCTCGTAAGCTCTATAGCTTGTCAACATTTGGTTTAATTCTTTGTCTACGTTAATAACTGGCGGAGTAGTCTTTAAACGTTTTTGTTCCTCTAGCCACACAGGGCTCCAAAAGAAGATACGTAACAAGAATTCGTCGTACAATGAATTTGAGTGTACAGGAGTATTCACCACCTTATCTCGAGGCATAGGCGCATCTTTTCCTACCAGCCTTTTTAGGACATTTGTTTCATCGATCTCGTACTCTCGTACAGTTTTAAGGACCTCAGAAAAAGTTACTCGTTTCTTTGATTTCTTGATTGGTAGCTGCGTATTCGTTCCCGGAGGTACTGAACGTTCTTTTCTGTCAGCCTTCGTTAACTCACCGCTCGATTTATCTTTTAATCCGGTATCTTTCGGTTCAATCGTTTTCTCAGGTCTATTTTCATTTAGTGCAGCTCCATCGTTCTCTATATTCATATTCGATTTCTTTGGAATTCTCCCTAAATTACAAATATTATTAAGTGTTCGTTTGTTTTGTAGTTGGGTCAATGCTTCTGTAGAGGCTTCTGGATTTTTTATTGACTTGCTCGAATTTTGATCGTTCGACGGGACACCTTTCGGTAATATCTCACTGGACAAGGGTTTAGATAATTTTAATAGATCCTCCGGTTTGATTGCGGAGATCGTTTCTTCGACAAGAAAATCATTTCTACTTTTGGCAGTCATCTTAGCTTTAGGTTTAGAAACAGGTCGTTTTTTCTCTTGATTCTCCTCTAAAGATAATCGCTTCTCCATAATTGCAATTTTCTTCAATTTTTCCTTTCTGTCATTCGACAATGCTTCTTTTTCTTCTCTTGAAAGAAATTTGAGTTTTTGTGTTGAACCTAATCGATGAGGAGGCAAACAATCAGCCCATTTATGACGTTGTTTACGATACTTCTCTTCCTTTGCATGTTCTCTTCTTTCTAATTTTTCCAACCTTCTTTGCTCTTCCTTTTGTTCCTTAGAAGTCGATGCAAGCTTGGAATATCTCTCGGACCTTTCAAGACCTTCTATGACTTTGTTACAGTTCCGACTTCTTTTAGGTGGCAAATGCGGGGCTTCGATTTCCGACACTTTTTTTCTAAGCAGTTCTTTCTTCTTCGATGATATTACTCCCGTTTTATTCATTATTTTTTCTTCCGCATCTTTCTTTTGTAAATTATCAGTTTCTGCGGAATGTTTTTTAATATCCTCTGTAAGTTTATAGGAGCGATTATCTGGAATGTCTATTCTTTCGAGACGAAGAAGTGGCAATAATACTTGATTTAAAACACTCTCCATTTTCAATGGACCTGCGGTTTTTCTTTCATGCGTGATTTCCTTTTCATTTGTCTCTTCGTTCCTAGCGGTAGCTGATGAAGATTTGACAACCGGCTCAACAACAGTCACTTCTGTTTTTATATCATCTACCTTTCTTACATCAGTTTCATCCTCCAGTTTTTGACTTTGGGACAATCTTCTTAACCAAGCGTTATTATTTTCATCCTCGCTATCTGATAGCGAAATAACTGAATTTAAGTCATCGTGCATACTGGCAGTAAGCCTTTCGTTTTCCGCTTCCGTGGGCTCCTCCTCAAGTTCATTTTTTATCGATACGTCCATACCATATCCGACATCGAACAATTGAGAGCACGGGAAAATATCGTCCTCGCTGTCGCTCAAATTGACTACATCATTCTCGGAAAATGTTGTTCTAATTACCGGTTGAACCTGCTTCAACTTTATCGGCGACAAAATTTTATTTTTGTCATTGTCCGTTAACTGCAATTCATTTTCTTGTTTTATAAATACTTCTTCGTTACGTACGAAGGTCGATGGCAGTTGTGAATGTATTGTATCATAATCTTTAGTAACAGAGACAGTTTCTTCGTCATTGGGTTTCTCGGTCCCACTTACATTACTTTGTCCACTGCATCTGTTTACACTCTTTACATTATGTTTTATACTCTTCATGTTATTCGCCTCTATTGCACCGGATGTTAAATCGCAGTTCTTATTCACTTTTACCTGACGTTCTACATTGTCACTATGCACTAAATTATATTTGGAGGGCTCCTGAATCTGCGCAACCGATTTCTGTCTAGCTTCATCAAAAATATAAATTTCTCCTTCCTTATCATTTCCATTTAGAACACTCGGTACGCGTTCGTACGCACTCGGCACAGATAAGCGTTTTGTGTGTGAAGCAAGTAACTTAACTAATTTCTTCCTATTATCTACTGGTGGTGGATCAGGGTTTGTTTCTCGATTGTTGTTACTTGATTCAGTAGCGTCCAGACGTTGGTTTTTACTTAAGTTAGATATACTCGTTTTGTTCGTTGGTTTACTAAGACTTTCACTGGTTTGAATCAGTGCACTATTATTCAACGAAGTATGGAGTATTTCAACATCGCTATCAACAAGACTATTTTCATCTTTATCACTCTCGACTGAAATTCAAAAACCTGTTTGACATTGTTTATGTTGATGAAATTAAACTCAAATAAAACGTAATACCTTCTATGGGTACATTTTCCAGAATAGTATTTGTCTGTGCCAACCTTGGAATTTTAGGAGGAAGAATTATTGCATTACAATTCTGTACTCTTTTGCGTTTAATTATTCCATTAGAGTTATCATTATTTGAATTTTCAACGATTAATGTAGTATCTGGAAGATCAATACTGTTGCGGATGTTTGTACTATCTGGTGATTGCTAAAATGATAATGTATATACATATTTTATTGTATTCTCGCCTTATCAGCCTGGGAACAGGATTTATCTAATCCTATAGTTAGTCATACATTCTTCCGTTCATGCTTTTTATTACTAACTATACACTAAGTATTCAAAATGATAATATATGATGTGTCTGAATTTTCATCAGAAAATAACTGACAGAAGGTGATCATAATTAATAAATCTTACCGGGATGACAGTTAATTTAAAAACGAACATAGACTCGTCTATATTCACTAATTCTGAACAACCAATACCAATAATCTCATTAGGATATAATTTAATCATTTCCGAAGGTTCTTGGCGAATGCCATTTATATATAAACCATTTGAGCTCTAAACAAAATGGATGTTTATTAAGAGTAACTGTTATGATATCAGCATAAGTTAATTATATTAAATAATAATCTGTACCTTTAAATCTGTTACATACACTTCATTCTTTTTGCGGAAAAAGATACAATGGTGTCTGGACACTTCCAAGCTAATACACATTATCTGACTAGTTTTGGCTCTGCCACATGTATACTGGAACAAGACAAGAAGTAAATTTGTTTTAAATCAGTAAATTATTGAAAACACAACTGATAAGAAATCGAAAAATTACGCATTATACTTACTGCATGGTCAACTTTATCCAATGTGTGTTCACCTGGCATGTTAACACGCTTCAACACGAATAGCCAGTTGGTGTCCGAAGTCATTTTTCAAGAATTATTGGTTTGTTGGTAGATATCTTACGATTGTTTTTGTTAACCTCGCAGTCGCGACGAATGCATTTCATAAATGTAACTTCCGACACTCCCGTATCTTGCTGACATCAGCGTGAGTTATCTACTATACCTATTCTTAAATTACACCAAACCTCGATGTAAGCATTTTTTGAATCAAATCTTAAAATCTTAACGTTTACCGCCTTTTTGAATTGTGATGATTGCAATTACAAACATATATGCTATATATTCCAAAGTTGGTTGGTGAGCTACTGAGCTGATAAAACGACAAGGTCTATTCAATCGCTGCAACTGCAGGTTACTCAGATACTGCGTAGAGCCAAGGGATGAAATAATAACACATACGGCATAACACCATTATTGTAACAATTCTCAGAATTCGATAATTTCCCACGAGAAAAATGAAAGATTCCTTTTTACGATCTGATTTAATTTTGCTATTTATATGTGTACTTGAAATTATCGTAATAAATTTAAAACGCAGGTCTTTCAAAACAGTGCACGCCGTAGATCCAACATTTTTCAATCTGATTTGAACTTCCGGGATTATATTTAGGCGGGAAGACGTACGCAAAACTTTAGGCTAGATATCTTAAAAACCGATAATGCACTACAGAAAGTTAGAATTGAAGACGAAATAGGAAACCAAAACGTGGATATAGTCAGGAATCTCTGAATCCGAATCGTCAAGCCATAAATTCCGTACAATCACAAACTGAATGAAAATAAGCAACAGGAGCGAACAAAACAAAATTAATGAAACCACCGCCGGTTAAATGCTAATGATCATAGGATAGTGATCGTCCCTTTTTTTGATCCCATATCAGATTGTAGTAGGATAATTCGGTTGATTTAAAAAGACAAGTCGACCGTTACCTCTATCCTTACGAGTTTACCACTATTCAAATCGTGAGTAGTTCAATTTCACTTGGTTGAATTGTTCTTCATGTTATTGACGTTCGGCACGTTCAAAAATGTGTGAGACGGATCGATCTACAGATTGGAAAAGTTCCTTAGCATCGCGGAAGAACATATCGTTTGAGAACCTTCCTTATATACCAATGTTAGTTGAAGATATTCCGAAATATATTTCTCAAGACGACTACGAAACAGATAGGGTTAAGAAGATTCAAACGTTCGGAAGATTTCTATCCAAGAGCGAGGCCTTTGGCAAGCTCGTATCTTTAACTCCAGGAAATACATGTCAATTTCCTGTTAGTTTCAAAAACTTAAACGTTACAGATATATATGTCAAAATCTCGGACGATGCTGATGTATTCTGCCCAATATGGGTAAATACGGATAATTATGTTCTCTCCTGTTGCTCGTTTTGATTACATGAGGAAACTGACTTTTCAGAAAAGGTACGACGTGTTTAAAGTATATGGAACTTTAACAGTAGAGGAAGGACTAGGACACGTGTTGCAAACCTACCGTTTAGTACCAGTCCATGATATTGAGGGCACATGGAAGTTGATGAACATTTTAATGAAATTCGCACAGCCAGAATATCACCGGTTAGCTTTCGTACTCTTAAAACAATTTCCATGTTTACTTAATTTACTTTTAATCTCTCCTTCTACCATAGGTATCATCGCACTAAGGGACAAACTGATACACTATGTTTACAGCTGGAAGAAAAGGAACGCCAAAGGGAACTTCACAAGAAAGAAAAGGAGTCAAACAAAAATTTTGTTCAGTCTATGTATGTACATATAAAACAATCACAGATTCTATTTATAATTAATTATGTGTAAATCATGAACGAAGATAAAGAATACAACGTTGTCTAATATTATATTTATTTGTACTTAGGTGCCAATGATTCAAGCCTCTAAGGATCTTCGAATTGGCCTTCCTCGTATTCCAACGAGCGATCCAGAGTTCCGTTCTGAAGCATTTGGATGACGCGTGTTATCACAGAAATCTCGTGAAACTCACTGGGGCAATAAACTTGTTGAAACGGTTTGTAAAAGGTGAATGGCGAGTAACTGCATTTCTTCGGCTCCTTTATCTCTGCGAAAATAAGATCCGACAATTAAATTCGGTGCAATATATATATGAGTATGTATAGCATTGAATGAAAGCAAAGCTTTAGCCATACCGTAAGGATCGAAATCGTCGGTCGAGTCCTCAGAGTCCCAGTTCTCGTTCTCTTGGTAAATGGTTTCTGGTTCCGTTTCCGGTTCCGGTTCCGGTTCTGATTCTGGTTCTGGTTCCGCTTCCGATCTATGGACGATCGTCAATTTTTATATATGTGCGTTGCGGAATATCGAATCGATAGAAAAGGGCTTACAAAACAGTCGAATAGTCGTCGTATTTCTCCTCGTAACTAAATGTGTACAAACTCGACGGTGATCTTGTCTCTTCTGCATATATCTTTGGACCATAGAGAGATTCGAAACCATAATGGACATCGTCAGGCCTGCTTCTCCTCAAGGCGTCTCTCATAAGTTCGTAGCACACTGTCCTACCACGCTGACATCAATCGTCTCTTTCATATACAAGTAGAATCTCGAGTGTGGAATGCGAATTTACGCGGAAGTTTAAATTCCATAAACGTTGAACGAATTATCCTCAGTTAGTTCCTTACCCAGAAATAATCGTCATCGATGGAGAAATAATTCTGGTCGAGATCTAATCCTATCAAAGCGGTCAGCTCGCAGATAGCTTCCGGTATTTGCTCCAAATCGTTGTCGTACAAGTCCAGATACTCCAACGCTTTTAAGAACCTGATGCTTTCCGGAAGCTCTTCCAAATGGTTGTGACGTAATTTCAATTCCTTTAACGAAGTTAAATCGCCGACATTCTTGGGAAGAGTTGTCAAGTAATTGTTATCGATCGTCAGATAGACTAAATTGTGCAAGCAACAAAGTTCTTCTGGTAAGCTGTAAATATTATTGTTATCCAGGTCTAAACTGGACAGATTCTCGAATTCGTTTATATATTCCGGTATCGTCCTTAGTCCTGTGCATGACACGGTTACTTGTTTAAGGCTCAATCGATTTCTTTTGGTTGTCAACGGCAAATTGTCTAAACCGCTTCTAACGCTGATCTTGGTATTCTCGATTGTCAATTCCTCCAGCTGTACCATTCTTGAGATTATTTTCTCCATTTCATCTTCCGTGAAATTGCACCATTTCATCGATAATTTCCTCACGTAAGACACTTCGGTTGGCAAACACGAATTCGAAAGTTTGAAGCTGATTTTGTTCAACGAGACGGTATCCAAGTGTTTGTATTTCGATGAGAGTATCCACATTGGAAACGATGTATTGTGATTGCCACCGTTAGCGTGAAAGGAAGTAATTTGAATGCTTGCTGGTTGAACATCCAGATCCAAGATCCTATTTCCTGAGAGATCTAAATTCTTCAGTCGTTTCATACCATTCGTCACGCACTCCGGAATTTTTGTAAACAAATTGTTGCGCAGACAAAGGATCTCGAGGTTGTTTAAGTTGGAACATGAAGTAGGAAGGTTTCCCAAACGATTCTTGGTCAAAAATAAAACTTTCAACTTTGTTAGATTACCAAAATTGTTTGCGATATCCTTGATGAAATTTCTCTGTAGCCATAATTTCATCAAATTGGTCAATTCGCAAACGACAAGTGGTAGATGATTGAAACAATTATCGTCCAAGTTCAAATAGCTTAATAAGTGGAGCATTGCAAAGGATTCTGGCAAGAATCTCAGCTTGCAGCCAGACAGATTCAAGTCTACCAATTTTGAAACGTTTTCAGTGAATCTGTGGGTCAAGCACTTTCGTGGCGAAAATAAGGCTTCTGTTAGTTCTCCATTCTGCAGGCTCTCTTCCTCTTTGTCCACTTCTTGGTATGCGGCACTCAGATCCTTTGCATTGTCAATACCTGAAGATCATTGTTTCTTATCGTTTTACCAAATTGAGGATTTTTATTTACGTTAATCGTGCATTATTAAATACATTGAATTAATTAAATGTATTGGATTAAATATGTAAATGAAATGTGTATAAATTACAAACCTTCTTGCATTGTTTCGTCCAGGAGTCTTTTGCGTTTAACTTTCAACACAGAATTTACAATTAAATTTCAGTTAATTTATTCAACGAAATAATCACAAAATTAAAAAGAAAATACAAGGTTCTGGCTTATGATCTAACTAACTTTTCGTTCTTAATAGCCTACTTGAATTTTGGATAGTACCTAACATTTTCCCTTTATTTACATCCTAATGGAGCAAGAGAAATGTCACTTCGGCAAGTGGTAACTATATATATCAGTACATGTGTATAGACAACCTAATCAGATAATTGTCAATTCGAATATATTATCGCGTTTGACGGGAAAATAATGTCATAGAGGAATTCGAGGGCGAATTTGTGTATACATGTCGGATTAGGATTAATTTAATGATTATCAGAATGGTTTTAATCAAATTAATAATATCCGATTGTTTCAGTATACTTAGTACCCATTGTATTTCAATAAATTTTCTGATTATTTTCTTACGAGTGTCATTCTACATAAATATATAAATAACGTGATTATTAGTTAGATGTTTAAATGAAGCATCCGCGTTTCTCATCTATATAGGCCAATTTAACACATTCGGGAAATTTCTAGAAAGATTCTACCGTAACAAGTTTCCTTAGTAATTTCGAGTTGGAGTTGGAGTTGGAGTTCCGCGTGAGAACATTGAACATTGAACGGTCTTCGCTTCGTATTATTTATATGTGTTCGCAAACATTTTTACATACGTGCAACGTGATACGAATTTTCCAGAAGCGATTTATTTAAAGAGAACTATGTGCTGTACATTGAACAAGGATTCAATTCAAATTGAATCGTAACTATATGAATAAAAAGTGACTAGGAAGATCCTCTTTTTTTAAAGGGAGACTTTTTGAAAACTTCGGTAAGTGACTCGGTTTCGCTGTTATTTAATAATGTAAAACGATGAAATACGTAATGCTCGTTTCATTATGTGTCTCACGTGCTAACGAACGATGACTTTGATGGAATAGTAGGTTAGATTTCGTTTTACTCGCATTCTTGAGATCATCCTGAGATCACAACACGGTTTTATCGTTTTTATTTGTACTACTACTTCACTGGAATGTATGATCAATTTATTTAAGTTTTTATGTATCGAAAGGAACTAACGTTTTTGAAATGATCGAAATTGCCCTAGTTTCGTTCAGGAATACGTAATTATCTTGTTCACGAAATAAATCATTTGAATTGAATATGTCGATCCTTAAATGAAATAAATTTCTTTATGAATTTATTATTTCTGATAACACGTGCTAAAACTGAACCTATCCTTGTATGTACATATATCGTGTTCTTATAATGGATTAACTCTATCATTTTATTACTAAACCTTTAAATATTATTTCATATTTTTCTCCAACTTGTTATCTTTCTTTTTGCCTGTTTTTATGAAAAAACATACATCTTTATGTTTCAGAATCAATTTCAGTATTTAACTTCGACCGTGTTATACTATTTAATTTGTAAAAAATGGCTAAATGGGGTGAAGGAGATCCAAGGTGGATCGTCGAGGAGAGACCCGATGCCACTAATGTGAATAACTGGCACTGGTACACATAGAACCTTTTTCTTTAAATTAAAAATGCACCCTCCGGATACGACACAAGTTTTAATTCATCATTTTGATTAAATGATAGGAGAGATAAATTTATTGAATTATCCAAGATAGTAAGAATCATCAAATTTTAAATAATGGTGTACGATTGTATTTTTCAAGGACTGAGAAAAATGCCTGTGCCTGGTCCCTGGAGAAAATTAAGGATTTATTTACAAATATGAAGATGGAAGGAAATGGAAGTTAGTATACTTTCTTCGTAGTTACAACTGTATATTTATGGATACGATCAAAGCTTCGAAATGAAGCGAATTAAAAATAATGGAGCCAGATACTGGACTTAAAAATTCCTTTTATCCTAATGGTCTTCATGTATTTGCAGTTTCTTGTACAGTAATGGAAGTAGAAAAATGCGAAGGTGAGGCAATGGTAAACAATAGAAAAGGTAAATTAATTTTCTTCTATGAATGGAATATCGTACTCAAGTGGGTGTCTAATAAAAAGTCTGACAAGAAGATCGAGGGTAAAATAAACATTCCGAATATGTCCGAGGAAAATGATATTTCTGAGGTAGATGTAAGTATTTCAAGTCCATAGATATTTAATATGTACGTAGCCAATGTCCTCTCAATTCCAGTACATTCGTTCAAGCACCACAAATATCTCTATAGCAACGTTAACGAAATGCGGAGGAACACAATCTTAAAATTTAATAATAAAATAGTCCTGTTTCGTTTCTTGTTTCTAGATTGAATTTACCCTGAAGGATAGCACTGACGAGGGCGAGGCTATAAAACATTTTCTACATACGAAGGGAAAAGAATTTATTAGGGAGAAATTGAAAACATACGTGTCCTCTTTAAAAGAAGGTGTGTCGACGTTAATATACATAATTAGACTGAGAACTTTTATAGAAGGAAGTAAAACGTGCAAGAAATATAGATATACTGGACTTATGTTTTGTTTTTAGAATTTACTGTTGGGATGATTCTGCCTAAGAAAGATAACGTGAAAGAAACTATATCAAATATCACTTCTGGATTCAATGCGAAAGTAAGTATAAAATTACTTGTTTGTATTTTGTTGCGTCGAAGTACTTTTAAATAATCCTTTAACAGACTCTGATTTTTGTAATTATAATGATTAATAATTAATTGTTGTAGATGCAAATGAATTCAGTAGTATCATCGAATAGTACTAGTAAAAAGGAAGTAGGATGTAAGATTTCGACGACGACGATTAAGCAACAACAAAGATTCCAATGTAGGGCTGAGGAATTTTATAATGTTTTTACCTCGATCGAGGTAAGATTGCTCACTTTTTACGTAGTAAATTTGTTAGTACAAGTTAATTAGGCGGATGTTATCAATTATAGATGGTTCAAGCGTTTACGAAAGGACCGGTAAAACTCGACTTGAGGAAAGCAGGAAAGTTCGAGCTGTTCGGTGGCAATATTCTAGGTGAATTTGTGGAAATCACACCGACTAAAATTACTCAACGATGGCGTTGCAAACAATGGCCTGCTGGTCACTTTAGCGACGTTACTATCGATATTTCTGAGAAGAGCGATCACACAGAAGTCAATTTATTACAAATAGGAGTACCAGTTAGGTAAGAGAAATCTCAGTCTCACGTTTAATTAAGAATCGCACGACGCATGGTATTTGCGAATTTTATATAATATTCAGAAGCGAAGGAAAAGGAATCAATGCAAATTGTATGTTTGTTTGCAGTGAGGAAGAATCCACGAGAGAAAATTGGGAAAGGTATTACTGGGACGCTATAAAACGTACATTCGGATTCGGTTATTTTATGTGATCGACGTATGTTTGTTTCTCGAATGTCACTTGCTTACCGATAAGTAGAGATATAATTAAAATGTGTATTGTTGTAAGCTGCCTCGCATGACTCTTACAAGACGCATAATAATCAGTGAATACAAGATGTCTTTTCTCTGGACACTAGTTAAAATCTTCTCATTTTTTTCTCTCAGACGCCCAACTCTCCTCTCCCCCATTTCTCTTATTCAGTACATTGCATTATGTGGGCGGGACTTTGTGACGTTACTTAAAACTGTATTAATGGCTGTATATGTCAAATAAATCATGCCCATACTTCAACTCTGGGTTTCTATTTTCAATCTGTTGGCCCGTGCCTTCGTAATATTGTCTCTTTTCAAATAATAAAAATTGAAAATTAATTATGCTCGTATAAGTCCTAAAAACTATTATATAAATATGTATTCTTGAAATATGGTAGAGAACAGGGTATGAAACGTTTATCGATCTTTTTCGATTTCATAATCTTAAATTCTATGAATTTTGAATAAAGTTGAATTTTTTTAACATCGTTTCTCAACCTTCACCAAAATTTTCCGGTGGTTCGTGTTCGTGGTTCCTGAAGCGTTGATCGGTCACGATCCACGAAATTTTGAAATTGGTACATGGAATGAATAAAGTATTCTATTACCAAACTTTAACTTTTTATTTAATAATAAAGAACGAAGTAGTTCGGTTCAGAAACCACATTTCGCGCTATGAGACCACGCTCTTACGAAAGAAACCGAAGAGCCAATAGAGCTCAATGCGACATGCTCTCCTTGTTAGACATATCCTATTACCTGGTAAGTTAGAGAAAGACACATATTGCTTCACACTATTGTGCCCTCACTCTATAGCAAACTCTCGGAGGCAGTAGTACGTATCACTATACGATCCGACACGCCAGACATGCTTGATCGCACTACTTAAACTCCGAAAGTTACGATTTTTTTTACCCAAAAACAATTAATGGCACAGTGCGCAGCACTTTCTCTGTTTTTTTAACAAATCGGTTCATCAGTAATTATTTTTTTCTGATTACGAATGCGACTGATAAACTAAGGATCTATCTAATAAACTATGAGAACGTGCCATATGTCTTGTAATAAAATTCCTTTTCGCCCGTTTAAAGGGCACTCGTTGCGAATGGCGTATAACAGGAACAATGAGGATTACTTTCTGCATGTATGATTAAAGTTTCGATCGAACGGAGAAACTATAATGAACCGAGAAACTTTTGCGTGCGCCGAAACGCGCATCTCGATCCCGCTTATTTAAACTTTGGAGGCCCGACTATTGTGATTTACTAACTTGAGGATTTATCTCTTTCATTTCTCATTTGCATATAAGACCGGATCCTATGTTAATTCAATTAAAGTTTTTAAGACATCGGTAAAGCTTCTCTCGACTCTTTTATTATAAACATAAATCCTGTCTTCGTGCAATCCAAACGGTAGGATAACAAAAATTCTGTCGTTAATATTTATGAAATATAAAAAAAAAAAATACGTATAAAAAATTGTATCGTTAATATTTATGTACGATACCTAAAAAAATATTGCGCCCATTTGAAATGCAGATTTTTTTTTTCAACTGACTTGAACGTCATGGTGGGTGATACTGTTTTTATTTCGCAAACAAGGCAAATGGAGAGGGTGCGTATGCAAATACAAATTTTATTCGTTCTCGCCCGTTTGAATCTGTCCCCACGTTGTATAATACATGAATTTATATAAAATAGATACCAAGATTGATAATCAGTTGCGCACTTTACATTTTTTGTCATTGACGATAAAGTACACCGTGATAACAATATGAAAATTATATCTGACGTTGCAGATCGCTGCAGTTTTGACGTGCTTTAAAAAACTCGTAGAACCGTGCAGAGAAAGTGATCGACAGACATAGTAGTTGATACTTTAAAACTCGGCAGGGAAAGCTCCTTACCCATTAAATAAAGTAGAAGCTATCACCTTACGTTCAAATAAGATTTTATCGATATAAAACAAATTGATAAGCTTTACAGTTTTAAATCCTTGTAAAATAGCTTTCAGGGAATAGCACTGATAAAACAAGCGCAAGACAATGTAACGTGGACAATGCAACCACGAAACGTGCAACAAGAATTAAACTAAAACTCGATCCAGTTGAGAAGTTCAGAAGTACTCAAACTTCCGTCACCTTTTCCAACAGGTTCCATCGTTGAAGTTACAAGCTCTACACACTCACACATTGTGTAGAATATAATTGCGCGTGTATCTACACCGGTAAGAGTTAAACATCTCCCAAATAACTTGGCTATCTTTCAAACAATTTTATCAACCCGCATTCACGAGAGTGCACGCGTCATTCGTTGTATGCGTGTCCGTTATTGCACGCGTGTACCCATAAACGACTCCCCCCGGGTCTGCGTACTGCGCCGTCGACGTTCTGCGCGAATCTGGTTTCTATTCCCGCAAAACGCTCGGCTTCGTTCATTCAGAACCACCTGCTCGGTGAGGTAACATCGGTCTCTTTTGGTCCATTCCAACACCCAATCACTGAAGGAGAGGTACAAGCTTCCGCACGATGAGGGACTACAAGACTTCCGTTCTCCCGCTTTCCTCGAAGCGCTTAATCATCTGCGGCTTGATGGTCCTCATCATCCTCGCCGATGTATCGCAAGCGAAACGTAAGTAACTCATTCATTAATTGTTAATTCTTCTTCCTTTTCGTTGACACATCCTCTTGTTTTTTATTAATATTTATATC